ATTTTGTAGATAGTCCCTTTTATTCAAAATAATTATCTCAAATAAAGAGAAAATTTTGATAATAGAGTGAATAATTAAAATTAAAGATGACAATAAAATAAAAGTAAAAAAATATTTTTTTGTTTATTAAAAAATAAAAAATATTAATATAAAACAAATTTTGAGTTAACAAGTTATTTTTAGACAAAAAAGTAAAATTTACTATCTTCGTTTACTTTTAGTAACCTTAATTTGATTTTTTTTTAAATATAAATTTTAAATAAAAATTTAATAATTTATATAAATAATAATTAAAAAGTTTTTTTCTTAAATAAAATTTTTATGAACAAAATTTTTTAATTATTATTTATATAAAATATTAAATTTTTATATAAAATTTATGATTGAAAATTAAAAAATTTAATTAAAAATACTAAAAATAAACAAATAGAGTAATATTTTAATGACTTCGCACGAGGCATGTGGCATTTATGTTGCAAATAACGTGGCACCTAGTTAATTTGCAGATAGTGTGGATTTTTGTAAGCGGAAGCTAGCTAAATGGATCATTTTTTTTACTTAATTTAACAAATCATTTACTAATTCTGATATTCTTTTCAATTTCATTTATTATATTAAAATTTTTTCAGTGCTGTCTATTATTTTTCATATTTATTTGAATTTCATCTAATCCATTATCTTTAACAAAAATCTTCTTATTCTATAGGAAAACATTTAGTTCTTTATCTATATTTCTTTTGATCTTTTAGTCCTTAAATTAATTTTTGCTATAAAAATAACTTTTATTCTTATCTTGCTAGATTTTTTAATTTGTCTAGAACTGATGCTCTACAAACTTTATAGACACATCTATCTCATAGTAACTCTTCAGTTTTATAGGGTATCATTCTTTCTTCTACTATAATCCTTGTTATAGTATCAATATGTTGATTATAAAATCTTAGTACCTTTCTTAATTTCATTCTTAACAACATTGTTTTATGGCTTAATTTGATACCAAAAATTTTGTTGGGGTTTTCAAAACCTAACTTAGATTACAAACTAATATGTAATTGGTATGTTAAGCTTAGTAATTGTGGAATTAAGTCTATAAGTCTGCTAGTAAAAATAATCTTTGTTTAGCCTCCTTTAGTCTTTTTAGATCTTCATTTAAATCTATTGTTGTTTGCTTTAATTTTTTAAGATTTTTGAAGAGATGATAATTGTCTAAATCTTCAATATTACTCATTTTTATGCTTTTATGGCAAATTTTTTAATGATTGCTTTTAATATCTTAAGAATTTCTTTTATTTTAATTTCTATACCTCTAACTCAAGATATCAGTTTTTGAGTCTTTAATAGACCTTATTTCTTCTTTTATTTCTTTTAAATCTCTAGAATTTTTGAATTTATTTTTTCTTTCTTTAATAGAATCAAATTCCTGAGAAAAGGATTTTCCCATTTCTTTTATTCTTTTTAAAGTATTTTAATTAATGGTTTCTATTTCTAGAATCTTAACAATATTGATAATTGTATCTTTTATACCGATTATGTTTTTACCTAATATATTGAGTAAATACATGTTAATCCGATTTATTTGTTTATTATTTATGTTGAGAGAAGTATATTAATGGTATATCTTGATGTATTTATTCTTTCTCTCTTTATCCTTATTTAATAGTTAAGAGTTCTAACTTTTACTATATCTTCAAAACTTACTTTTGAAGTTTCTCATTCTAAACTTGCTAAATTTCTCTCTTTGAATTGAGTTAGTTGTTCAAATTCATTACAAATTCTCACTAATCTATTTCTATAAAATATCCCTTAAGTCATTATATTTTATTGGGATTATTGTGCCACTTTCCCAAAACTTAAAGAATTGCACTATTTTAACTCCAAGATAACTTTTTTTTGTTAAAACTACTAAAATTTTTGTATGGTGGGCTATTCTCAAACATTCTCCAAAGTTTATAAACTATTTAAAAAGAAAACAAATTTTCTAGACTAAAATAAAATTAAGCTAATAGCTAATAGATTAATTATTGAATTAAGCCCTCATTTTTACATGAAATTGGTACTTGTAGACCACTTTGGAAAGGAAATTTGTTTCCATACTAAACTGATAAAAACTATATTGTTACTATACCATTTATTAAATTTAACCATACAGTAATACATAGCAATCTCAGACAAACTTAGCTATAAAAACATTTAGCTACTCCACCTCGCCAATGTTTCTTAGCATTCCCTTCAAACAGATTAGTAGAAGAGGGGATGTACATAGCAAAGCCCTTTCATTTCGTGGGATTTCTCCCACTCTTGTGACCCATTTCCCAGAACCTTTTCCAATTTCCATACATAGAGGTAAATTCCATTGTGAAGTTGATTTCTTTTCTCTTTTATTTTTGTTTGGATGATTTCCATGTGAGGGTGTACATGGATTTGCGTGTTTTTCAATTTTAAGATTCATTTCGTAGCTGGGTTGCATAGCCTGATTTTCTTTTCTCTCTTTTTCTTTTTCTTTTTTTTTTTCTGTTTATTTAGCTTTGAAATTAAAGGTTTTCTTTCATAGAATATCTTTGATTATGCAATATGGTTGATTATAATGCTACTTGGTTATTGAAGATTTGTGCCATATGAGTTGCTTTTAAGGGCTACACCATACAACTAATTAGAATTCATATTCCAATTTCTTACATCTTTTTTGATTGGTTGATATATATTAATATTTTGTAATAATAATTTTATTTCAACTAAAATTTAGATACGACATGGATTTATGTAGTTTTCTTACTGCAAATGACTTCAGTTTTCACATAGTCTTATTTGTAATTTATAAGTATAGAAAAATCGATCTCCTCCAACGTTCACAAGTAAAATATGAAATTTGATTGTCTAATTTTTTTCCTTTTGTAATATTGTAGTTGCCTCTCCCTAGTATAAAATCTAGGCTCCGCCGCTGCCAGTGAGGGAGACTTTTGAATCCAAATTCTCTGCCTGCTGAAGACGCATGTTTGCCCTTTCTGTTGGATCCAAGTTGACATTTTGGGTATAAAACCGACGTCAAAATTTTGGCTTTGTCCAATGCTCTCTTTGAGGTGAAGGTGACGCTTTTTACAAATTTCATGGTAATGAAAATGAAGATAAGAATTATGGCGAAGAAATCTTTTCAAATATGAATTTTTTTTCTCTTAAGATGAGAAATTAGTTTAAATTTTGGCAACATTTTTTATGGACCAATGATTGTTAAAATCGAATTTTAGATTGATATTTAAGAATAAAATTTTTTTCATTCATTAATCACATGGGTTCATATAAGATACACATTACAATTAATAACCACCATAAATTCATTTTAAATTTTGCTTCTTGTCCTAGCTATCATTGTTCTTTTTCAGTTTTGTTTGAAATTTTAGAAGTTTAGAGATCATATGAAAATAAACACATTTTTAGGAGCCTTTATTTCTTATTTATTTTTTGCCACCAGGAGCCTTTATTTGCTGATCTTTTGTTATCTGATGGTATTTTTGGCCATAAACATAGATATCTAGGAGTTTTTTTTTTCCCCCGAAAGAAATCTGGGAGTTTAAATGCCACTTTTGTAGTCTAGATTTTCAGGCCATCCGTCTTGTTTTCAATCTTTTGAATTCCTTTCATATATCCTTTTTCTTTGATTCAATTTCCAAATGACTAAATGAGTAATGCTATAGGAACCGACAGGGTCCCAAGTCACCGACAGGTCCCCAAGCCGACTTGGGACCTACGGTCCCTATAGCTTTTTCACTTTTAAATTTTAACTTAAGTAATTTTTTATTTTCAACTTTAGGTCTTATGAAATTTACTTTTTACATTTATTTTAAATAATAACATCATTTCTAAATATTAAATATTAAATTGAAAACTTTTAAACCCTATCATTAAATATTTGATCCTAAAATAAAAAATTAAAACCCTAAACTTTAAAGATACAAACCTTTAGTCCTTAAATACTAAATCTTAAACTTTAAATACTAAACCTTAAATTTTAAGAATATTAAAGCTTAAATCTTAAATATTAAACTCTAAATTAAATTTTAAATAAAATTCGAGATTGAAAAAATAATTCAAAAAGTTGACGGATGAAAATAAATTTAAAACGTTAAGTGTAGGGACTAATTTATAAATTTAATCATAATGTGAATAGTGAACTAACGGTCGTGGAATCTCCACGTCCGTTCGGTCTCCGTAGGCTTGGGACCTGACTGTCCCTTTATCATTATTCTTTCCAGATAAACTAGATGCGAATTTTTTAAATGTCCATTGTCAATATAATTATGATGGTTGGATTTTAATTTTAATTTTTATAAATTTTATAATTAAAAAAGTATTTAGTTTTAGCCCTTTTTTTGGGCTGCGTTTAGTACCTAATAATTCTTCGTAGAGCTTTTATTTTGACAATTAACTATTAAATCTAATATTTTATTGGAAAATATTATGTCCAATGAATACCAAAGTGATTATGATATTTGTAATTATGCAAATAAAAAAATTATATTTTTTATTATTTATTTAATGGTTTAAAATTATGGGTCATTATGAAGTAAATAAAAACATTCAGTTAACTCGAATACAAACTGTATGAAAAGCATGGACTGATGTGAGTTACAGCGAAACTTTGATGTTTAAAAAATAATTACATCCCAAAACACACGTTCAACTAAAATCCAGTATTGAGCTAAAAACTAGAGAATTGAATTAGACCTCTAAGCTGCTGCTCGCTTTCAGTTTGAAATAGAACCTCGAATTCAGTATTGTTATATAAGAATTTTTTTATTTTTCCAAAGGACTAAAACAAGTTTAGTTTATTCTCAATTTGAAAGTAAAACATGCATTTATAAGTTCATAATAGAAGACTTCAAATAGCATCACTCGAATTAGGCATTTCAAGAAGGAAAAGTGCTAGAACTTTTCACTCTAGAAACTAGGAATGTTTACAGAAAACACATTTAGTTTTATAGTTCAAAACATAGCTAGGAAAAGATACTAGTGCAATCCTTTTATTATATACATGTTCAAGTTTTCACAAAGGTTACACAACAAAACGTAAGGTTTTCTTACAGCAGCCCATTTGTATTTCATAAAACCAAAAAGTTCATAAGTTCAGGTACAAAAATCAGCGAGCAGGACTAGTTCTTGAGCAGAGCTCAAATTTGTCTTACGAAGGTTAGTTAGACTGGCACTTGAACTAGCAGATGCTTCTAAAGCTCCCAAAATAAGTATGCTGCTTTTAACTGGTTTAATCTATTACAACAGGGAAACAAATCTCCATAAGCTGTGAGCCTTGGTAATTATAGCAATAAAATTAACATAGTTTAAATAAATTACATTAACCAATTATACACTGATGTTAATCTAGAAAAGTAGCTTTCGTTCCCCAAGGGTACAGGATCAGTTCCATCAAAGGGTTCAATAACACTGAATACTTAAGTCAGAAATTTACCCTTAAAACAAATATTTCAAGCTTCACATAAATAACCAAGAAAGTAAACTTTATGCATGAATTTATGTTTCCTTATGTTCCTGAACAAATTTATGGTAACCATTCTGTCAGTGTACATCTCACCAAATCCTTTGACCAGCTGAAAACAGCACAAAGGTCTGATAAGATTCCAAACCAGCTCCAATTAATTTTAGGAGTCCTTTCAAAATTCTAAATCAGCTCCAATCAACTTTAATTAGAAGCAACAACAAATAACAGCCGGGGTTATTTCCCTAGCCATTAGCATAGGTCTTTTACTTACTTCAACCCTGATTAGCTTTAGGAGCAGCCCCATGTTACTTTAGAAGCTCTTTACCATAGATTCAAAAGTACAGAATGCCTTTATGATGCTTATTCATTGCATTATTTAAATTCTAATCTACATAAACATGTACATAAGCAAAATAATATAACTGCATGATTAACACAGTCCATTCTTTCAAATATTTTGCAGATTTTCAACCAGAAATCATCCACAACAAAGTTTGGGCATGCCAAGAAGAAGAGAAGTGCAACTTTGAAGTAAATTTCTACTTACACGTACTTTAATAACATTGCATGTCTAAAACCTAATTCTTTTTTACTAAACTTGTTCCCTTGCTTAATTTCATCACAAAGAATTTCAACAATATAATTCTAGATTAAGTTGGATTAAGTTGAATTAAAGCTAAATTTACCTTACTATAACCAAGTTCAACAAAAGCTCTCCCTCAAACCTTTCTCAACTCTATTGCTGATTCTGTGCTGCAAAAACTCCCTCCCTTTTCTTTTTCTCATTTGGCACCAGAAAATAACAGAAGTGAAAATGAGCTCAACTAGTGATTTGAACTACTTATACATCTACACATAAAGTTAGTGGAAATTTAATAATTTCCACCAACCAGATCCTTCTCCTTCTAATAATCTGGTAATGTTGCTAAAATTTCCATGCAACTGGGAGCCAAAAAGTCCAGTTTCACTTAACCTAAACTTTTAGAAATTTGACAATTTAAGGATAGAGTTTCACCAAAACTTATAATTTAGGATAGGTGTTGCCTTGTTCTCCATTCCTTAAAGATTTGGTCCCCAAATCTAAAGCTAACCTTTAAATAGATGAGGATACAATTTCTTAATCAGCTCTTCCATCCTCCAGGCAGCTTCATTTTCAAAACGAAGTTACCATTTCACCTTAAACATGGGAATGACTTTGTTTCTCATTATCTTTTCTTTTCTATCAACAATGCTTTCTGTTTCTTCTTCATTGCTTAATTATTCCTGCAAACCAAGTAGGTTAATTTTGATTACATGCCTTGTTTGGAAAATATTTCCTTACTCAAGAAACAAGAAATACTTTTTTAATTTTGGACAAGTTTGGTGGCAATGCAAGTTTCTTTCTCCTACCTCAGACCAACATATAGGTGTTCTACATTTCCTTTCTTACGGGCTTCGGTTGGAGCCATTCTTATGCTATCATGGTAGTTATTACAGTATGCAAATTCCACCAAATGTAAGTGCTCTTCCAAAGTATCAGGCATGGCCAGTGCACAATCTCTAAGCATATCTTCTAAAACTTGAATGGCTCTTTCTGACTGCCCATCAGTTTCTGGATGAAATGTAGCACTCATTCTCAATTCAGTTCCCAGGGCTTCTAGCAATGCCATCCAAAATCTAGCTGTAAACTTCCAGTCCTTGTTAGAAACAATTCTAACAGGTACACCATGGAGCCTAACTATCTCTTGAAAATAAAGAGCAACCAAATTATTCAAATCATGTTTCTTTCTATACGGGATAAAATTAGCAGACTTAGTAAGTCTGTCCACGATTACCCAAATAGCATTGGACTGCTTCTCAGTCTTTGCTTTGGTAGTCCAAGCACAAAATCCATAGTTACATCCTCTCATTTCCACTCTGGTATGCCTGAATTCCTCTACCAAATTTATGGTGTTTGACCTTCACTAACAAGCTAACATCTTGCCACAAAATCTGCAACATCTCTCTTATTTCCATTCCACTAGTAGTTATCCCTCAGATCCATGTACATCTTTTGCACATCCAGGATGTATGGTGTACATAGATCTGTGTGCCATTTACAGTAACTCCCGCTTCAATTTACTGTCATCTGGAATGCACAATATATTTCCCATTCCATTCATACCATCAGAGGACATCTATAGCCCAATATTCTTCCTCTCTTCTTCATCACACAACCACTTTTGTAATTGGGAATCATTTTGTTGTGCCTCCCTAATTTTCTCAAATAATTCTAGTTGCAAACCCATATGAGCTAACAACACCGCAGGTTGTTAGTAATTTAAACTTTCAAATTTCTCAACCCTTCCAATAACTCCCACTCTTTAACCCACATGGTAGCCAAGGAAACAGATTTTCTACTCAATGCATGTGCCACCACATTAGCTTCTCCCGGTTGATACATGATTTTACAATTGGTAATCATTTAAATATTCAACCCATCTTCTCTACCTAAAATTTAAATCTTTTTGAGAAAAGAGATATTTTAGGCTTTGGTGGTCAGTAAAGATCTAAAACTCCTCCCCAAGAGGTAATGCCTCAAAGTTTGAGTGCAAAAACAATTGCTACCAACTCCAAAGCATGAACTTGATAATTACTTCCATGATTTTTCAATTGCCTACTTCCTTAGGCAATCATTTTTCCCTGCGGCATTAATACACACCCCAACCCTCTAAGTGATGCATTTGTATAAACAAAAAACTTCCCCTCTTCACTAGGTAAGGCTAAAATGTGTGCTAATGCTAACCTTTGCTTTAGCCCTTGAAAGCTAGCCTCACAACAGTCATCTCATACGAACTTGTGATCTTTTCTGATTAGCTGTGTTAAGGGTTTAAAAATTTTGGAATAGTCATTAACAAATCTCCTATAATAACCAGCTAAACCAAGATTCTAACTACATAAACATTCGTTGGTCTCTCCCCGCTTACCATGGCTTCAATCTTACTGGGTCAATGGAAATTCCCTCTTCAGTAACTACATGCCTTAAGAATCCTACTTGAGTAAATCAAAACTCACATTTATCTAATTTGACACATGGTTCATTTTCCCTCAACCTTTGCAATACAAGGGCTAAATGTTCTTCATGACTTTTCTCATTCAGGGAATAAATTAGGATGTCATATATGAAGACTATAACAAATTTATCTAGTTATGATTCTAATGCTCTCTATGCATAAGATCCATAATGCTGTTGAAGTATTTGTTAGCCCAAAAGGCATAACCAAGAACCCAAAATGTCCATATCTAGTCCTAAATATTGTCTACATAACATCCTTATCCCTAATTCTCAATCAATAGCAGCTTGATCTTAAGTCGATTAGAAAACACTTTGGCACTTTGTAATTGAGAAAAAAAGATCATCTATTTTTTTGAGTAAAAGATACGTGTTCTTAATTGTCACCTGATTTAACCTTCGGTAATCCATGCAAAGTGTTAGGGAACCATGTTTCTTCTCTACAAACAGCACTGAAACACCATCTGAAGAAACACTCATGCAAATAGAACCTTCATCCAACAGTTCTTGAAACCGTTTCTTTAACTCAATTATTTCTATAGGGGCTATTCCATATGGGGCTGTGTCATTGGTGCTGTTTTGCGCACCCAGTCAATCATAAATTCTTTCTCTCTCTCCTTGAAGGTAATCCACATAGTTCTTTAAGAAAAACATCCTCAAAATTTTCCACTATCTCGATTCCTTTCACACTACTAGGGTTGCTTTTATTTTCAAAAATATAAGCAAGATATCTAGTACAACCTTGTTGTAATAATTTTCCAGCTCTCATACTAGAAATCATTATAGGATTTGCTTGTAAATCCCCACCGCTAAATTGAATAATAGGTTTATTAGGAATGTAAAAGGTAACTACCTGATTCAAACAATTTAATACTGCCTATGAGTTGACAACCAGTCCATTTGCTAAAATTACATCCAATTCATATACATTAAGAAGAATCAGGTAATCCAGCAAAAAGTTCCCGTTAACAACAACACAGCATCCTTTATAGACTGTATAAAAGGACAAAGTAGCTTCAAAAGGCAAATTAACAACCAATTCATAACCCAAACTCATGGTGTAAACAAGAAAATATGCAGCATTCATGGGAGATACAAAAGAATTAGTTGGCCCAGGATCTATTAAGATGTTAGCAACTCCATTTAAACCATGGAGTTTACCTAGATTATAGCTGGATTCCCTTAAGTCTGTCCAGTGAGAACAAACAACCTTCACATGACTTTTTGTTTTTTCTCCTTTGGTTTCAGTTCAGGACAATTTTTGGCTAGGGGACCCACTTTGCCACACTTAAAACATGCCTTTTTCTGCCAATTACAATCTTTGCCTTCATGCTTTTTGTGAACATACTTTGCAATTTTCCGCCTCTACCTTGCTGTTGATAACTCCCTTTCTTTTTCCTTTTTGCTTAAATTTCTTGTTTTGAGGCTGAATGTTGAAATTCACAGTTTTTCCCTTGTCTTCCTACTGACTAGAATTCCCTCTCTTCGTATCCTGGTATTACTTGATAACTTGTGCCTTCTCCATGGTAGCAGGGTTTTTGGTCACCTTTTGTCCTACAACTGACTTCCAATACAAGTCTTCTGTTCCCTTATAAACTTCCTCACTGGGTTGGCTTATTGGTCGCCTCTTGGAGAACAAACTATACCAGATCACTGAACTTGGCCTGGTACTCATCTGCTGTCATCTCCCACTAAGTTAATCTGTTAAACACTTCATTCTTCTTGTTGAGAGTGGCCTGAGAAAAGTAATTTTCATATATTTCTTTGATGAAACCTTTCCAAGTTATCACCTCCCTTCTTTTAACATAACCTTCCTGAACAGGCTGCCACCAGTTCCTAGCTTCACCTCTAAGCATAAAAATACCCTAATGAACCTTATGAAGATTCTTGCATCTCATCACTTAAAAAATTTGCTCCAAATCCTTTACCATTCTTCAACTTTCTGGGGTCCTAAGTTCCCTTAAAAGTAGGTGGATTCCACTTTTGAAATGGTTCAGTTTAGCTTCGTACTCAGGGTCATCTTCCACTTGTTCAGCCTCAGCTAGTGTCTCAATAGTTCTAGCACATTCCCCTTGTGTGTTTTGCTACTGATTCCTATTCTGCAGTGTTTGCTCCACCGTGTGCTGCACTATAGTCTATGGTACTTCCATGGTATTCTGAGGAATTTCACCAACCCTAGGATTTTGTGGCTGCCCATCACCAGCACCACGAGCTCCAATTAACTTTAGGAGCACAACCCTAGATAACTCTGGGATTAATTTCAAATTTTCAAATAAGCTCCAATTAAGTTTAGGAGCAACCTCAGATAACTTTAGGAATTCTTTCCCTAACCATTAGCATGGGTCTTTACTTATTTCAGCCCCAGTTAACTTTAGAAACAGCCTCATGTTACTTTAGGAGCTCTTTTCCATAGATTCAAAAATGTAGCATGCCTTTATGATGTTTATTCAATGCATTATTTAAACTCTAGCTTACATAAACACATATATAAGCAAAATAACATAACTGCATAACTTACACAGTCCATTCTTCCAAATATTTTGCAGATTTTCAACCAGAAAAACATCCACGACAAAGTTCAAGCATGCCAAGAGGAAGAGAAGTCCAACTCTGAGGTAAATTTCTACTTGCATGTACTTTGATCACATTGCATGTCTAAAACTCAGGGTTTTTTTTTTTTTTTTTTTTTTAACTATACTTCTTCCCTTTCTCGATTTCATCACAAATAATTTTAACAATATAATCCTAGATTAAGATGGACTAAGTTATATTAAAGCTAAAATTACCTTACCATAACCAAGTTCAGCAAAAGCTCTCCCTTTTAAACCTTCCTCAACTCTGCTGCTAATTTAGGCTCGTAGAAACTCCCTCCTCTTTTTCTCATCCAACACTAGAAAATAAGAAGAGAAGTAAAAAATGAGTTCAACTAGTGATTAGAACTATTTATACATCTCCAATTAAAATCCAACGGATAGCGATTGGTAGTCGTATGGTGAATTTCAGATGTTGATTGATTAATTGTTTGGCTTTACAATGACTAACAGTTACTTTTTGATGTTAAATGACTAACACAGGCATGTTTAAAAGCAATTAAACATCTTTCTATTATTGAAATAATTAATTTTATAACAA